CAGTCAAAGATTGCCTTTGTGCAGTCAAAACCCTAAAAATGACCATTTTGCCCTTTTGGTGATCTGATCAAATTTCTTGTGGAATTGTGATCCAAACTTGATCAAATGGTTCATATGAGTTCATAATATTGACGTGGGTCAAAAATCATGAGGTTTGACTGTCAATTGGCCACAGTTGACTTTTTCTCCAATATAGCTAATTTCTAGGTCAACTGTCCAATTGACTGGGCAAAGATTGGAATCAAGGCTTGAAACTTGATATGGATAAACTTGTGAGTTCAACATGAAGCATGAAAGTCAATTTGGGAATTTTAGGTCAAAACATCTTTGTGCAAACTCAAACCCTAATTTGGGTCAACAGTGCAAGGAGGAGTCTTGAGCAGAGCAAACCCTAACTTGATCTTGAGCTCCAAGGGTCTTGTGGTGAGAAAATGTTGATGAAATGAGAGGGCAAATTTTGGGGTACAACAATAAGGTAGTTTCTTATGCATCAAAGCAGTTGAGGAATCATGAGAAGATCTATCCTACGCATGATTTAGAGCTTGCTGCAGTTGTTTTTATGTTGAAGATTTGGAGGCATTATCTTTATGGCTCTAGATTTGAAGTGTTTAGTGACCATAAGAGCTTAAAGTATTTATTCGACCAGAAGGAGTTGAATATGAGGCAACGGAGATGGTTGGAACTATTAAAGGATTATGATTTCGGTTTAAATTATCATCCAGGAAAAGCGAATGTGGTAGCTGATGCATTGAGTCGAAAGACTTTACACATGTCGGCAATGATGGTTAAAGAGTTGGAGTTGATTGAGCAGTTCAGAGATATGAGCTTAGTTTGCAAGGTGACACCGTGAAGTGTTATGTTAGGTATGTTGAAGATTAATAATGAATTTCTAGACAGTATCAGAGAAGCTCAGAAGTTGGATTTGAAACTGGTAGATTCGATGGTTGGGATAGATCAGTCTGAGAATAATGATTTTAAGCTAGATGCGCAAGGTGTATTGATATTTCATAACCGGATTTGTATTCCTGATGATGCTGAGATGAAGAAAGTGATACTTGAAGAGAGTCATAGAAGTAAGTTGAGAATTCATCCAGGAGCTACAAAGATGTATCAAGATTTGAAAGTTTTTTTTGGTGGTATGGAATGAAGAGTGATGCGGCTCGGTTTGTGTATGCATGTTTGACTTGTCAGAAGTCGAAAGTTGAACATCAGAAGCCTGCAGAATTGATGCAACTGTTAGAATTTCCAGAATGGAAATGGGATAGCATTTCGATGGACTTTGTGACGGGGTTACCTAATACTTTAAGAGGACATGATTCGATTTGGGTGATTTTTTATAGGCTTACGAAGTCGGCTCATTTTATTCCTATTAACATCAGTTTTCCAGTGTCGAAGTTGGCTGAGATTTACACTAGTGTAATCATGAAGCTACATGGTGTTCCTTTGTGCATTGTTTCAGATAGAGATCTGAGGTTTACTTCTGATTTTTGGAAGAGTTTGCAAGAAGCGTTGGGTTCTAAGTTGAGGTTGAGTTCGGCGTATCATCCTCTGACAGATGGTCAGACTGAACGAACTATTGAATCGTTGGAAGATTTGCTGAGGGCATGTGTTCTTGAGCAGGGAGGTTCGTGGGATCTTATCTTCCATTGATAGAGTTCACTTATAATAACAGTTATCATTCTAGTATTGGGATGGCACCTTTTGAAGCGTTGTATGGTCGAATATGTAGAACTCCTTTATGCTGGCATGAATCTGGTGAAAATATAGTACTTGGACCTGAACTTGTTCGTGAGACTACTGAGAAGGTGAAGTTGATTCAAAAAAAGATGAAAGCTTCCCAAAGTAGACAGAAGAGTTATCATGACAAGTGAAGGAAGGACTTAGAATTTCAAGCGGGTTACCATGTGTTTTTGAGAGTTACACCTGTGACTGGTGTTGGGCGAGCATTGAAGTCTAAGAAGCTCACTTCTCGTTTTGTTGGACCATATCAGATTTCAGAGAGAGTTAGGAATATGGCTTATATAGTGGCTTTACCGCCTAATATTTCGAATATGCATGATGTGTTTCATGTGTCACAACTCCAGAAGTATATTTCAGATCTATCTCATGTGATTCATATGGATGATGTGCAAGTACGGGATAACCTTACCATGGAGACAATGCATGTACGGATCGTGGATCGTGAAATAAAGACTCTGAGGGGCAAAGAGATTGCTTTGGTTAAAGTGGTTTGGCTAGGAGCTTCCGGAGAAAGCAAGACTTGGGAGTTGGAGAGCAAGATGCGGGACTCCTATCCTGAATTGTTTGATTAAGGTAAATTTTCGAGGACGAAAATATTCTAAGTGGGGGAGAGTTGTAACGCCCGTAATTTAATTAATTATTTAATTAAATTATTATTTTTTGATTATTTGTGAAGTTGTGTTATGATGATAGTTGATGTGTTGTTGTTATTGGATATATTTATTCTATTAAGTTGTGGAATAATATTATTTGATGTGGGCTCATTTTAAGGAATAGAAGTAGTATAAAGGGGGTGTAGGAGTTTTAAGCCCATTAAGGCATAATGAGAATTATAGGGTTATTATATTAGTTTTTAGAAAAGAAGGAAAAGAGGCAGAACATAATTCAATCGGAAAAGTTATAGAGCAACCTTCAATCCAAGATAAGGGTGAGGTTCTGACTCTATAATCAGGTTTATGATGAGTAGTATGTGGGATTAGATGTGAAAAATTGTTTTGTTTAAGATTGAATTATATATATTGTTGTTTGATGAAGATCAATAATTTAGAGATGCTTAGTGATGCTCTAATGCTATATAATTGATGTAGAAACGTAGAATTATTATAATTGATGATTTCTTATGATTAGAGGATGTTTTTAGAGCCTAAGGCAGGTAAATTGTAGTGAAAACACAGTGAAATCGTAGAAAATATTCATGACAGAACAGTATGCGTCGACCTCAAAAGCCATACGTTGATACATGCAGGTTTTTGGACTCAGGATGAGTCGATACGAAGAAGCATGCGTCGACACATACAGGTTTTTGGACTCAGGATGAGTCGATACGAAAGAGAATGCGTCAATACATACAGTGTTGCAGACTTAGTACGAGTCGATACAAAGGGATTACGCGTCGACTCATGCAGGATTTTAACCCAGTACGCGTCGAATCAAAACATTATGCGTCGACTTATGTAGTTTGATTTTTGGCAGATTCGTTCCAAAGGCTGTAACTTGAGTTTCCGGACTCCGTTTGAGGTGTCGTTTGAAGTGTTGAATAGATGATGCGATGAACTTCATTCTTAAGGATTAAAATGAAGAATAGGAAGGATGATTCTAGTACATATATTAGGATTAGAGTTAGCTTCCCGCATTAATCGCTATGAGGATTTTGTGAAGTATAATGGAGATAAGATGATTATAGATTACTATCTGGTTCATAACAGTGAGATTTTTGCTGATAATGATGTTGTATTATATGATAATAATATGTAGAGGTTCAGTAATTAGAGATAAGCCTTAAATGATTAATTAATTATAGGCATTATCATGTTGTAGGCCTATGGTCAACGTTGAGGGATTGTCGATCTATCGTTGTATTGTTGTTGTGGCTGAATTGCTGTAAAATTATGTTGATGAATTATGCGATGATTTATGTTGATGAAATTATGTTGATGAATTATGCGATGAATAATGCTGATGAATGATGTTGAGATGCCTCTAATAATTGACAGCTATTAAGATGTAGGCTTCTGGCCAACGATGATGTTGTGTTGAGACGTTGTTAACTATGGTGTTGTTATTACTTTCATAATTGTGTCGCATACATTGCATTTCAAGATGGAGCTGATGCTCGTTAAGATGGTATGTATTGGTGAATATTGAGATGAAGGCTTATGCCTTGTTGATGCCTCTATTTATTGGCAATTATTTGAGATGAGAGTTTTGCTCCAATGGTATCACATGTATTTGCATAGTATTGAGTCGCATTATATGATTGCATAAAGAAGTTGTGTATTGATGCGGTGAATGTGTATTATTGTTGGTATTCTGTTGCGATTATTGTTGTTTATAAGATAAGAAGTGGTGATGTTATGTGATCTAATTTAATATATTATTTATCATACATTTTATTATATTGTTAGATTTCTCACCCCTTCTGTTTGAATGTTATCCTTACGTTGGTAACGTGCAGGTAATTCAGAGTGAAGGCAGTATACCTTCGGTAGTTCGAGTCGGTGTCATTGCTCTGATACGTAACACTCGGGGGATGAACGCTTGTTGCTTTTAATTATTGATTATTTCAGTTGTTGAACTTTTATTTGTTTGTTGCTAAGAATGCATTATTTTGAAGTTGTTGTAATTGTTGGACAAAGATGTTATTATGATTCTGCTGCGTAGATGTTTAAGTTGTTGAATTAAGAGATTAAATTATTTTGTTGATGGTTCATCCCAAATTTTGAAGTGTTATATATCCACGTTGAATGTAATATATTTTTAAGTTGAATTTGTGACATCCTGATTTAATGGTATGAATTTTATGACTCTGAGTTGCATTTATAATTGCCGGGTAGAATTGAGGAGTACGAGCTAAGTCTATAAGTCATTTTATAACTCTTTTGTTATATACTATTAACCATAGAGAATACTATTCACACATGGTCAGTGTAAAATTCTTTTACCCAATCAATCAATAAAAAATCAACAAACTTCCATATCATTAAATTTAAAAAAAAATAAAAATAAAGTATAATAAATACATAATTGTAATTAGTTAAAAATATAAAACAATTTTATATGTTCAACATATCATTTCTTTTCTCTTAATCATAATACATTATTTTTTTCATTGATCGTTATCAGATTATTACCCTCAATACCTCCACCACAATTCTTCAGTCACAGACTCAATAATTTATTCCATTATTTCCTTGTATCTACCGAATAACAATAAATATAATATCATATCATAAATAAATTCGGCAAATTTTCTTCTACATATGTTCCTTCCCTATCCATCTTACTATATATATATATCTCTATCATTACAATTTAACTCCACCAACTCAACAAAAACTCATTTCATTTCATTTTCGTCCTCTCTTCTCTCTCACTCCATCCTTTCACTTCAACACAATCCATTCCCATTCAACAACACCTCTGTAAGTAAATCTTTCTCTCTTCTCATCAAGCTATCTCTCTTCATCTTTTCATTTTCAACTAACAATTTCTTTCTTTTCTTGACAGTTTTTTTCATCTTCTCCCACTCAGGTTAGATTTCAATTATCCTCTTATTCCTCTATAACAAAACTACGTTGCCTTTAATTACCGTTATTCAATTCATTTTTCTTTTTTGTTATGGGTTCGGGTTCGGGTTTTATAGTTCTTTAAACAGTTTCCGATCCGATCCGGTTGCAGTTTTTAGACTCCATGGTTATCAAGAAACTGTGAAATGAGTTTTAGGGCAATAATAGTACTGTAGTTATTTACAATTAAGCACAATTATTAAATTAAATTCATTGTAATTGAATCTTATGCTCTATTGCAGTTCAACTTTATTATACCTGTTGGGTATCTGTAATGCGATCAGTTGATGAATGAGAAGAGGAATTCAAAGCGTCAAAAATCATTCAAAATGCCTGGAACTGACTTCAACGATGCACAGAATCTCGACGACGAAATTCTTTTCCCTGTCGAAGAGATTGCGCAATACCCGTTGCCTGGATATGTGTCGCCGACTTCGATAAGTTTTAGTCCGGACGATAGTTTGATTTCGTATCTGTTTAGTCCGGATAATACGTTGAACAGGAATATTTTCACTTATGATTTGAAAGGTAATAAACAAGAATTGTTGTTCAGTCCCCCGGATGGGGGGCTTGATGAGAGTAATATTTCTCCGGATGAGAAGTTGAGGAGGGAGAGGTTGAGGGAGCGGGGTTTAGGAGTGACACGATATGAATGGGTGAAGACGAACTCGAAGAGGAAAGCAGTCATGGTGCCATTACCAGCTGGGGTTAGTTCCTTTTTAGCATGCAAAATATTGTTGTGTTCTGCGTAGTTGGCATCAGATTTATTCTTTTTTTAATGCTTGTCTTTTTTGTATTTTGCATTGATTATTAATATCTTCTTGTACTCAAGTTTGTTATGGTTGTTGTTCTGTCCCAATGAACAGATTTATTTCCACGATATTTCCCTTTCGAAAACAGAGCTTAAGCTTCCAAGTATACCAGCGTCGCCCACTATTGATCCTCATCTGTCTCCCGATGGATCTAAGCTTGCCTATGTGAGAGACTTTGAGTTGCATGTTATGAATCTCTTATCTAATGAATCAAAGCAGTTGACCCATGGCGCAAAGGAAAACGGTTTTGTAAGTCCAGTAGTTGATTAGTTGTTAATTTATTTGAGTTACTAAATGCATCTCTGTTATATGAAATGCAGTTGATGAATTTTATATAATCACTGAACCAAATTTAACCCTTGTAGCTAAAATATATTTTAAAAACAAAAAGCTTAACAATAAAAAAGGTAGATGGTCATGGTCTGTGTGATGCGTTATGCATCTCGAAATATCCCATCCTATATCAGCTGGACATATAAATATGTCAAAAGTGTTTGGTTAATCATCATACTGCTCAATTTTATTAAGCTTCGTTCTTCCACCTCTGTTATTATCCACCTTGTTAATGATAGTGGAATGCAATCTTGATTAAATTCTAGGGTCTATCTTGTGTAGTATTTTATGGTTCTTTAGTCTTTCTTTCTTAATTCTGAAATAGAGCTCGATTGTACTAAGACATTTGGAGATTTAAAGAATCAATTATGGATGGTAATTCCAATGGTAGTTTTTTCAATTATGTTTTACTTTCAGAGAGTCTCGATTTCTGAAAATTTGACATTGCATTTGTATGTTGCAGATTCACGGGCTTGCGGAATATATAGCACAGGTGATATTTCTTTCAAAATTATATCTACTCTATGTATACTTTAAACTCTGGGTGCATTGTATCTGTGTATAAAGTAGTCTACAAGTGTTGTCAAGATCACGATGTCAATCATAAGGTCGCAGGATTTAGCGATCCATCCCCCTTTGTCTGTGCTTGATCACATGCAAAATCGGATTCTAGTAACATCGTAGTGAGATCGTGTTTTAGATTTTAGAGAACACGAGATCGTTTGATATATTTTGTTCCCAAAACAGCAGTTTCTATGTTGCAATGCTTTCAGCTATAGCAAACCCTGATTTTGAAAGGGTCTTTATTTTTCCTTTCTAATTATTTGTTTTATAAATTAGTTTATGATTGATTTGGGCGGGGGGCTATCCACAGAAGCCCAGTTGTCAAATACATTCAATGGCGGATTGTGGACCATGGCAGAAAGTTTAAAGTCTGCCATATAATGCCGCCACCCTTCACAAATTGGCCACGAGGTGGCTATCCTCAGAAGCTCAGTTGTCAAATACGTATCAATGGCAGATTGTGGACCATGGAAGAAAGCCAAAAGTCTGCCATATGATGCCACCACCCTTCACAAATTGGCCATGGGGGCTATCCACAGAAGCCCAGTTGTAAAATACGTATCAATGGCGGATTGCGGACCATGGCAGTAAGCCAAAAGTCTGCCATATGATGCCATCACCCTTCACAAATTGGCCATGAGGGGGCTATCCACAGAAGCCCAGTTGTCAAATACGTATCAATGGTGGATTGCGGACCATGGCAGAAAGCCAAAAGTCTGCCATATGATGCCACCACCCTTCACAAATTGGCCATGAGGGGGCTATCCCCAGAAGCCCAGTTGTCAAATACGTATCAATGGCGGATTGCGGACCATGGCAGAAAGCCAAAAGTCTGCCATATGATGCCACCACCCTTCACAAATTGGCCATGAGGGTTGTCAAAAAACATGCCACCGCAATCCGCCATGGCCAATATTCTACAATACTGCTGAATACTTCTTTAACTACGATCACCACACTATTCCCCCAGGTTTTGTATTCATTTATTCAGAGTTTAACAGTTGGATTGGATCTTATGATCCTCGTTTCATTCCTATATTTTACGTTCTTGCATCTACTTGCAGCCCTGTGAATGGTTTATAACATTAACATGTAATTTTCTGATTTCAGGAGGAGATGGATAGAAAAACTGGATATTGGTGGTCACTGGATAGTAAATATATTGCATTTACTGAAGTTAATTATTCTGAAATACCGCTTTTTAGAATTATGCATCAAGGTAAGAGCTCAGCTGGCCCAGATGCACAGGAAGACCATCCTTATCCTTTTGCAGGAGCTTCAAATGTTAAAGTACGCCTTGGGGTTGTTTCGGTAGCTGGAGGCTCCACCACTTGGATGGATCTTGACTGCGGGGGAGTGAAAGAACTGGACAACGAGGATGAATATTTGGCAAGAGTTAATTGGATGCATGGAAACATTCTCACTGCTCAGATCATAAATAGACACCAGACTAAAATAAAGATCGTTAAGTTTGATATTAGAACAGGGCTGAGGAGAGATATATTGGTAGAAGAAAACAAAACCTGGATCAACATTCACGACTGTTTCACACCTCTTGATAAAGGAGTTACCAAGTTTTCAGGTGGATTTATCTGGGCTAGTGAGAAATCAGGATTTAGACATCTCTATCTTCATGATGCAAATGGGACTTGTTTAGGACCCATCACTGAAGGTGAATGGATGGTTGAGCAAATTGCCGGTGTGAATGAGGCAACAAGTCTAATATATTTCACTGGAACCTTAGATAGTCCTCTTGAATCCAACTTATACTGTACTAAACTTTTCGTCGATGGAACTCAACCACTTCAGGCCCCTACCAGACTTACACATGGCAAGGGAAAGCACATTGTAGTCCTTGATCATCATATGCAAACCTTTGTTGATATCCACGACTCTCTTAGTTGTCCGCCTAGGGTATTACTTTGCTCATTAGAGGATGGAAGCATAATCATGCCTTTGTATGAGCAGCAAATACCAGTTCCAAAATTTAAAAAGCTTCAACTTGAGCCTCCAGAGATTGTTGAAATAGAGACCAGTGATGGTACTATCTTATATGGAGCTCTTTATAAGCCCGACGTTTCAAGATTTGGACCTCCGCCTTACAAAACCATGATCAATGTTTACGGTGGTCCTAGTGTACAGCTTGTTTCTAACTCTTGGCAAAATACTGTTGACCTGAGAGCGCAATACTTGAGAAATAAAGGCATCTTAGTTTGGAAGGTCAGTTCCCTGAATTTTACATGATTATTATGACCCCACCTTCCCCCTCCTCTCTCTTGCTCGCTTTTAAATTTTAAATTGTTATGCATATTGCTTTTTATTATTCAGCCACATGATACCACATACAGCTGGGGATGGTTACACTATATTGAATGTGTGAAACCTTTAAACATGGTGTACTTAGACGTGGTTAAATTGAATACGAAAGAATTTATTCGAAGCCAAAGAGATTGATGTGTGATTATTATGATTGAGATAAGAAAATCCATATTTATACATGGAAAATGTTCTGGCCTAACAGTGACGTAACTTATTTAAACATGTTCATCCTTGCATTTGACATTTCCATTTGTTCGTTAAATTGTTCTGATGTCTTAAATTCATAGGTTTTTGTCCCATCTTTTATGTGTATGTTTGGTACTATTTTTGAAGGAGACAATTGATTTTGAGGGTGTAAAGTTGATTTTGCCTCAAGAATTGATTTTTTTAACTTGAAGTATTTTAAACTTTTGTCTGTGCAATAGATTTTTTGCATATAATGTTTAGTCCTACCCACTTTTACAGGAATGTATTCAAACATTAATCACTTTACATTTAATTTGTTTTTAGCATAAATTAATTAAATCATAATCGATTTTAGTTACCACAGAACCAAACATAGTGTGATAAGGTCAGGCAGCATGCAAAAAAACTAGTGTCTTTACCAGTTTTGGAGGTATATTGTTAGTTCATCCTTCCATTTTAATTATTACTCTCCTTGTTTACAGTTAGACAATAGAGGAACTTCTAGACGGGGGTTGAAGTTCGAAGGCTATTTAAAGCACAAACTTGGACAAATCGATGCCGATGATCAGTTTTGTGGAGCAGAGTGGCTTATCAAAGAAGGGCTTGCAGAATTTGGACACATTGGATTGTACGGGTGGAGCTACGGCGGGTATCTGTCTGCTATGACACTGTCAAGGTATCCTGACTTCTTCAAGTGTGCTATAGCTGGTGCACCCACTACATCGTGGGACGGATATGACACATTCTATACAGAGAAGTACATGGGATTGCCATCTGAAAATAAATCAGCGTATACAAGAGGTTCTGTGATGAACCATGTGCACAAGTTGAAAGGAAGGTTGTTGCTTGTGCATGGCATGATTGACGAGAATGTACATTTTCGGCACACTGCAAGACTTATCAATGCACTTGTGGCAGCTGGAAAAATTTATGAGCTGATCATTTTCCCAGATGAGCGCCACATGCCTCGGCGATATAGCGACCGAGTTTATATGGAAGAAAGGATGTGGGAATTCATAGACCGGAACCTTTGACATCATATATTTTTTCAAGCATCTTTCTTTTCTTTGTTATATTGAATGGCAGTGTAGTATCTGAAGTTCTTTTACACATGTAAAATTGTTTCTTAACTTGTTAGCACTTTCACCCAAGACGATTGGTGATGCATTTCTATACAGGAAAAATAAAAACTTCTCTTGGATTTGATCACTTCAAGTATTTTAAAATAATGAATATAAACTTGCCTTTGCCAAACTAATTATTTAGAGGGGGGAATGGGAAAGTTTGGTTGTAGATGCAACTTTTCAAAATATGATGTAGTTGTACACCCTCGCTAAACTCCTATTTCAACAAAGATAACTGATGTGTTAGTTGAGTCAAATGAATATAAACTGTTTGATCAAATTAAGACTTGATGTTGATTAAATTAAGACTCGATCATTGATAGTATTTTTTCTGTTCTAAATTATAAGACGTTTTGATCATTGATAGTATTTTTTCTGTTCTAAATTATAAGACGTTTTGGTAATTTCCCACGAATGAAGAAATACAATTATTATTTTATGAAAAAGTGAAATGATGTTTGACTTTACAAAAATATATTGGAAAACGAAATTAAAAGAATAGAAAGAAGAAAGAGAAATAAATAGTATATGATATATTAGTCAAAAAATCATTATTGATGTATTGAGATTGTAAAGTGATTTATAATTTAGGATAAATATTTTTGACAAAGTGACTTATAATTTAAGATAGAGGAAATAATATTTATTTATATTTATGTATTAATGTAAACAAATTGTGTTTATTTGTTCAACCTCTTTAAAAATGTGCAGTCATCTTTAAGAAGTGCGATCACTGTCAATACACCAGAAATATTTCGAAAAGAAATGAGGTGCCGTTGAATAATATCCTAGAGATAGAGATATTTGATGTGTGAAGGATTGACTTCATGGGACTCTTCCTTTTCTCATTGGGAAATTAATATATATTTGTTGCGGTTGATTATGTTTCAAAAAGGATTGAGGTGATTGTCTCTCCTACAAATGACGCATGAGTGGTTATTAGGTTGTTTAAAAAGATTATTTTCTTAAAATTTGGGGTTTCTAAATTGGTCATAAGCGATAGAAGATCTCACTTTATTGCGAAACAATTTAGAAATATGTTGAAAAAGTACAAAGTAAAACAAAGAATTGCAACATCTTATCATCCCTAGGCAAGTGGTTAAGTTAAAGTTTCCAATAAGAAAATTAAAACCATATTGAAAAAGACAATCTCCTAACTCCAATTGAAACAACATCTTCGTCCATGCTTTGTATGGAAAGTCTTGCAATTTATTACCAGAGTTAGTGCATAAGGCCTACCAGACTATCAGAGCCTTTAATATGAATTTTAAGGTTGCTGGTGAACAAAAGAAGCTACAACTGAGTGTGCGAAAAGAGTTAAGGTTGGATGCATATGAAATCGCTAAGTTATGCAAAGAAAGAACTAAGAAATGATATGACAAGAGAATCCTAAAGCAGGATTTCAAAGAAAGAGAGATTGTCTTGCTATTCAATTCGAGATCAAAGTTATTCTTGAAAAATTGCACTCATGGTGATATAGATTAATTGAAGTGTGGAGCGAGTTCACTGGTCCGTTCATGGTGAAAGGTGAAGGCTTAAGCACAATGTAATTGGCGAGGAAGTTCAGAAGGGAGCTTGTATTACCTTAAGAGAGGCCCTTTGAATAATTTGCGAAGGGAAAGTCAAGGTAACGACTTAAAAAAGCACTACGAGTTTTTAATTATCAATGTTTTTTTATGTGTTGTGTTTATTTAGGTAAATAAAAGGAGATTGCTTGATATGAAGAAGACCAAAAATAAAAGTGTGATAAGAGTATGTGAGATTCAAAAGGAAACGTGAAAAGTGAATAAAAGTACTGTAACATCTCAATTTTATTTTCTATTTAATTATTTATTTTATTAATTATTATATTATATAGTAATTAATTAAATTGTGTGATTTAGTGAATATTTGAATTATTTGAATATATGTGTTATTTGAATAATTGGGTTTATGAGTGATAATAGTAATTATTTAGCATTGGACCTTATATTACATTAGAATGGGCAAGTGAAGTTAAGCTCATTAATGAAATATAGTAGTAAGAAGAGAAAATACAGTTAGAGTAGAATTATCAAAAGAAGAGAAGAGAAGAGAAGAGAAGAAAAGAGGAAAAGAGGAGAAAGGAGAAAAAGAGAAGGAAGAATCCTAAAGTGTCTACAACTAAGATAAGGGTGAGAATCCTTGTTATTATGGAATTATATATGTGTATGTAATAGGTAGTAACATGAATTAGAGATGTCAATTTCAATTTCTAAGTTTTGATATATTTAGGTTTTGATGAATAAATCCTTGAATATGATGATTGATTGTGTTGTGATCTTTCTATTTGAATATACATGTTAGATAGGAGTTATAATACCTTAAATCGTAGCAATTTTGGTGTTAAAATATGGTTTTGGATAGAAGAATCGCACATGGAGAGTCCTGTAAGCGCACAATTTTTCTGCAGATCACAGAGTTCGCTTAGCGAAATAGCCTGGGAGCAGTATTTTTGTAAAACTTCAAAATTTCATATCTTTTGAACCATAAATTTGTTTTAAGCATCATTTAAAGCGTTAGAAAGCTAGCGCGATATTCTTTTTGATAAAAATAGATTTGTTGGCATTATATGATTTAATTATTATGTGATTGGGAAAAGTGACATGTATATGTGTTATGTGTATTGTGAATTGGTGTTGAATTGAAATGATAGTTTTCATATTGTTTGTTATGTGTTATGAATTAATAATGAATGAAAATGACATTGTTTAGCTTTATTTTCTATGTGTTATTGTGATATATTGAATTGAGAATGCTATGAATATCACACTTGATTTTGTGTATATGTATATTGTGAATTGATGATGAATGAGAATAACATGTTTTGGTATTGTTTGCTATTTGTTATTATGGTATGTTGAGTTGATGAATGCTATGAGAATGCATTGTATGTGATTGATGTATGTTGTGCAATTTGATGAAGATAATTCAAATATGTTGAATTATGTGTATAATTAAGATTGAGATGATGATCTTAACTGCACATATTTGTTGAGATTGCACATGCATCATTTGTGTCAAGGCAATATTTGGTAATTCTGTAGAAATCATTGACCTGTCCCAAACCTAACAATGAATGAGATTTGGAAGCTTAAGGCCGAATCGAGCTTTTATTGGTGGTTATCTGTCTGAGAGATGGACCCGGCAGGACCGATAAGGATAATAATTGGTACCGCATGCATATTGCATTGAGTTGCTTTGGAGTCACATGTATCGATGTGAAATGTTGAATTGACGTGAAACATGTGATACTGTTGTGAATGTTACATATGTGATATTTGTGATTGTTTATCTTGAATCATGAATGATTGAACAATGTTGTATATGTGAACATGTGTGTGATACGGTGGGAGAACTGACTTGAGGGTTTTGCGTTTGATCGCAAATGTTGCGGTTAGCAAGAGTCGCCACCGAATTTTCTTTTATCCAAAAGGAAAGGTGAAAAAGCACAAGAAAGACCTTTGAGATTGTTTCTTGAGTTCGGGGGGTAGATTATGAAAAGGGAAGGTATTAGCAACCTTTTCATCCATGGTTTTCCATGGGCTCTTAGTTACTTGCTAGATCACTTGCTTTTGTTTGAAATTATGCTTTGTGTGGTTTTTGAAAGTATTTTGTAAAGAAGCAATTGTTTAGGAAATCTTTGCAATGATTCTCGTTAGTAAGAATGTATACAAAGATGTTTTGATCTTTTGAAAATGTTTTTAATTTTGTAAGATGTTTGAAAGTGTATGTGTTTGTTTTTGAAAATAGCAAGGATGTTTTGTTTGAAATTGAGCAAGTAATTATGAGAAATCTACCTACTCAAATGTCTTTCTTGTTCATTTTCTTTTCCTTTGACATTGTTGTCTTACCATTGATTTGGTAAACAACCCTATCTTTGGATGTAAACGGGACGGGCGTGGGTCATCGTATAGCCATGATTAACAATGTTGCAAGGTATCTTAACATTCTTTTTGAGGGACTAAGATCATTTGTAAGGCAACTTAGATAGCGTCGTCGAGGGACTATGATCTTGTATGTGCTTGTTTTTCCTAAGATACCTTACATGCGTAATATGGTCATTTTGTATAAGGCAACCAAGTGGGATAACCCTAGGGGTCTTGTGTGCAAATGTATTGTTTTCATGCTTGATTTTGTCTTGAATTAGGTTTTTCTATTTTGATTGATTTTGTTCTTTCCATACAAACCCTAATTACTAGCATTTGTGTATAAAGCGATAAATTGTGGAATTTAAAGTTACTACGCTATTACAATACTTGTGGGAGGGGGTATACAATTTGTGAATGAGGATTGCAATAATATAAACCTAATTAATTTATTACAACCAAATTGAATAAATGTATAAGGAAATGAATAAATATAAAGTACAAATGCAAATGGAAAGAAATGATTTTTGTTTGGATTTTTATATGAAAGGGGTTTTAAACTAAACCTAATTAGAGAAAAATAATTAATCAAAATTAAATTAACTTAAACTAATTAAGAAAAAAATTAATTAAGAAAAGATTTTGAATAAAACCCTAATTCTATTTAGTTGATTAAAAGAAAATAGTTTAGAGAAAAAGTATTTTTGTATTTTTGCCTTGAAAATAATATATGGTGTTGTAAAATATTTTTGGCCTTTTTTATATTATATTAAAATAATATATTTAAATAGGTATAAAATAAAATAAATAATAACCTAGTTTTAATTTAATTTACAAGATAATTAGTAAAGATAAATAAAGTATGATGAATAGTAATACTTTTTTGTGTGAGAAAAATATTTAAATTATGTCAAAACATAAATCTACTATTTATATATTTTTTATGATTTTTTAGTATTTTAGAAAATATATTTAAAAGGAAAAATGAAATAAATACAAATGGGCCAGGGGGTGCCAAAAGTC